TGGATGGTACCTACCAACAATAAGTCCTGTTTGGAAATGGGTCTCTTATATTCAAGAGGCAGGATTACTCTCTTTTGAGCAGACTGGACAAAAAAACAAGGTAAACAAGCAGAGCTGTGAGAAGACAGGCCACGCCCCGTAAAAATCACCCAAGAGTCAGAGAAGAGATGCTGAAGAGAACAGGGCCTCCCCCACCTGCCAGCCAGTAGAGGGAGCCTCCCCTGTCCACAGTCCCATAGAGATGACATGCTGCATTTGGTCTTTTCATCTCCTAAATGATGAAAAACTATGTATCTTTTCATGAAAGCCCCGACTGTGGTATCTCTGTTAGAGAGCTGCACTGGATAACAAAGGCAGAATTCCCCTGAACTTCACGTCCGCTCAGAATGTGACCTTGCTTGGGAAATGGGATCAATCTTTGGAGATGTAATCTGCTAAAATAAGATCATGCTGGATTAAAGCGGATTCTGGATCTGATTGGATTGTCAGCTTTATAAGAAGAGGAGTGGACACAGGGCCAGAGAGAGAGGCTCACATGGAGAGGAAATGGCGGGAATTGGAACGCAGCACCCCCTGGTCAGGCAGTTACCGAGGGGCTCTGACCCTCCAAAGAGAGAGAGCCTCTCCTGACACCTTGATTTTTGCACTTAAACTGGAACAAATCAAGTTTGTAGGATTTTGGAATCTTCCAGAATTTTCTGGGTGCTGGAAGACAAAACTATGGGAGAGGTTTCATCACCTGAACTGTTGTGTCTGCCCCTGGGTCACTCCCGGGAGGCATGCAGGGGAAGCAGTGGGGAAAGGAGTGACCAGGGAGAGGAGACAGCCCAGAAAGGCCCAGAGGTGAAACCCTGGCCAGAGTGGGGTATGCAAAGCATCCATCCATGTGACTGGACACAGGGGAGCCTATGGAGGGCTTCAGGACCTCTGATTCTTGGCCCAATTCAGTGAAAATCTGAGGTACACATGGGCTTAGGAGACTGGTAGAACCACATCTGTGCTCAGCAAAGACCAATTTGGTGCACAGTGTCGATGAGGAGGAAGAGGGAGCTGGGCTTGGGGCTGGGCAATGACAGTTACAGGCATCTGTTTTAGTGACTTGTTAGTTGTTGTTAAGTGCCATCAAGTCACCTATAACTCATAGCCACCCTGTGAACAGTGACTTTGAACTCTGCCCTATCCCGAGCCAACTTCACCATCTCTGACACACTTGACTCACTTGATGGAGAAAAGATTGAAGTTGTCAACAATTTTATCTTCCTTGGATCCACAATCAACTCCCTTGGTATCAGCAGTCAGGGAATCAGGATATCCACTGGGAAAGTCAGCAGTCAGGGACCTCTCTAGATTATTGTGGAGCAATGATGTCAGTTTGAGGACTAAGGTGTATCTGATTCAGGCCATGGTCTTTCTGATCACTTCTTATGCACCTGAGGGTTGGACAATGAATAAGGATGACAAAGAAAGAATTGGTGCTTTGTGGTATTGAAGAAGATTAATGGTTATCCCATGGACTGTCAAAAGAACAAACAAATATGTCTTGGAGAGGGTACAGCTAGAGTGCTTGCACCTTGGAGACACCAATGTTGAAGCTTTGTCTCACATACTTTGGGCATGTTACTAGGAAAGACTATTCCTCAAAGAGGGACATTGTGCTTGGAAAGGTTAGTGGAAGAGAGGAAGACCCAGGTGGATTGACACGGTGACTGTCACAGTGGGCTCTAATGTGTCAGGAAGAGTGAGGATGGCACAGGGTAGAACAGGGTTTAGGTCTGCTGTTCACAGGGTCACTATGGGTCATACACACCTTGATGACACGTAACAACACTAACAATACGTGAGAAATGTAATAAACAAGTAAATTAGCTTATGAAAAGATGGTGTGTTCTGGAACACAGAACAAGCAGAGCAGAAGTGGAGGGTATTGAGGGGATGTCCAGGGTGAGATCTCAATGGAATAGTGACTAAAAATGTGAGCTAAAAGTTGGATGAGATCAAGGGAATTGGCCAAATGGGGTCCAGAGGAAGAGGACATCAGCAGAGGGAACAGCCAGTGCAAAGGTCCTGTGGTTGGGGCACGTGGGGAGCATTTGATGACCAGCACAGAGGCCCACGAGACCACAGCAGCAGGAATGAGGGGGAGAGAAGTCAAGGATGAGGACAGAGAGGTGATTGGGGGCAGGACGTGGGGCTGGGGATCAGATAAAGGCCTGTTGGTTTTCTCGGAGTAGAATGGACTTCTCTGGCTGTTGGGTTGGATACAATTAGGGAGCAGAGGTGGAAGCAAAGAGAGCAGATGAGCTATTCTCACCATCTGAGCAGAGATGACCATCGCCTGTAGGAACAGTGGGGGTAGAGGGGTCATAGGTTATGCATGCCAGCATACATGCATACTTGCCTTGCTGTGTCCAGAACTGACCCGGTGCAGTAAATCTGGGCAGGTGACTCGTGCCCTCACTGCCTAGACCAGCAGTCCTGCTGTGGTTAAACCTGACCTACCTTGAATCTCCAGCTGTTTCTAACAGCACTGTCCTAGGTGATGACTATCTTGTCAAACTCACAGTGGAATGTCTAGGATAACACTCCACCCGCTGGGGCTCATCTCTGTTCTCCTGGTTTCTCTCAGTGCCCATCAATCTCCCTAGTCTCTAACAGACAGACCAGGGATATTTTTTACTTATTTCCTTTGCTCCTTGCATCCATCACTCAAACAAGATCTCATCCACAAGTGTGGGCCAGGCCCTGCTGATTCTTCTGTCCATCCTTTCCTTCCAACTCCCAAGGCTAACTCGTTAGGCTCCAGCCTCAAACCACTACTGGAACCTTCCTTAAAGGCCTGCTGAGTGAGGGCATGGGCTCTGGGGCAAGATGCTGTGGGTTTGCATTCCTATCCTGTCAACTTTGGACTGTGAGAGAGAGAGGAATACACTCAGCAAGATGGATTGACGTGATTATAACAATGAACTTGAGTGTGCTGGAGAATGTGTGGATGGCACAGGGTAGGGCAAGGTTCTGATCTACTGTTCACAGGGTCGCTGTGAGTCAGAGTTGACTTGGCAGCACATTAACAACATGCACTTCAGTTTCTTCAACTGGGAAATGGGAATAACGGTAATATGCCTATGCTTCAACATTTCATATTTCCAACAATAGTTGTAAACAGTAGTAAAAGATCTACCATCTGACTGTTTTGCATGTTAGCAACCTATATCTGGCTGTAATGAATACTGAAGTGAGAGGTGAGGCTAACAGGGCTGTGATGGCTAAGGTTATGTCAGCTTGGCTGAACCATGATTCTCAGTGGTTAGTCATGACAGAAGTTGACAGTTATGTGATGATGTAACTTGGCAGTTATGTGATGGTATAATTTAGCAGTTATGTGATGATGTAATTTGACAATTATGTGATGATGTAATTTGACAGTTATGCGATGATGTAATTTGACAGTTATGTGATTATATGACCTATCTTCTATTTTCACATAACACTGACTTTTGCATAATGACCTGCTCTTCAGAACCTAACAACTAAGGTTTGTATGAAGGTCAAGTGAGTAATTACATATAAGATGGTTAGAATAGAGCCTGGCATGTGATTGTTATTTATGGGGAAAAAATGTTATTGGAGTACCTATGATGTGCAGAGGAGGCCTGGAAGCATAGTAGGCTGAATGTTGGGCCATTAACCAAAGGTCAGTGGTTTGAACTTACCAAACATTCCATGGGAGAAAGAAGATGCCATCAGCCTCCAAACCTGATGGGAAAGTACTACTCTGTGATCTCCTCCCATGCTGGAGGCTCAGCTGTGAGGTTCTGAATGGATAAAGATGAGCTTGAATTTGAGAGGGTCACTGAGTCGGGATTGACTTGATGGCGGTAAGTTAGGTCTGGTGTGTCATGATCACCATCATCCTGGGACATAGTCTGACTCGTGGAAGGAGCACAGGCTGTGACTCAGGAGTTCATGTCCCGGCTGTGGGGCCAGCAGAAGGGCTTACTGTGTTCGTGTAGAAGACATGAGCTCTGTGTAAATACCAAGAGTGTCTACAAATGTCACAGCTGCTGGATCCTGATGGAAACAGCTTTTCTTTTTAAAAAAGTGGACCGTGAAGGAGGAGGATGTGAAGTTTCTACTCTTTTTTTAAAAAAAACCCAACCTAATAAATCAAAACCAATAAAACATGAACAGAATTTCCCAGTGGTCTGGTTGATTTTAGGCTCTGCCCCCGCTGCATCCCAGGGAATAACCTTCTCTTTCCACCATATCCCCCTCAGGTCCTATAGAAAAGCCCTCACCTGTGTCCCTCACCTGTGTCCCTCACCTGTGTCCAGCATCTTGCTCAGTGCCTGGCATGTAGTAGGTACTCAAGAAGGGTCCATTCTTGTGAATCCAAATTGTGTTTTGTGGATCTCTTCAAGACCTGCTTTCTGACTTTAAGACTGCATGGTTTCACCTTGGGGTTCTCATGGAGAATTTAGCCCCTGCCGAGAAAGGCTTTCTCAGGAGAATACAAACTAATGCACATGTTCCTTGGTGAGCTAGTACTTAATTCTAGGAAAGGAAACAGGAGGTTCAAAATGTCTGTGTATTTTTCATGAACTCCAGAGAAAAGGACCCGTCCAACTCAGCCTTGGTTTCTACCTAATCATTAAGGGCCCCGTCGTATCATAGCCTCCCAGTGGAAATTGGAGAGAGAATGTATCCGGACCCTTGAAGGATGGACATAGGAAGGGAATATATGAGAAAACCCTGAACACGTTGGCCAGCCTTTCAGTGTGTGAATTAGAGGATGAGGGACTACGTGGTGTACTCCCTCTTCTCAAAGACTGTGCTCCGCAGACAGAGAGGAGAGCTTGAAAATATTTCCGGGCTTCTTTAGTAGATCTAGACCAGATTGTTACCTGCAGCCCAGGGTGGGGAGGGGCCATCAGCTATCAGTCTGGGCACAGAGTTAGGTGCTGGGGACCCTCGATGCTGCATCAGGGTTCCCAGGCCCGACTCTAGAAGGCTCGAGTCTGTGCGCTGCGCCCCCTGGTGGGTGGGCAGGGTCCTGCGTAGCACAGGCGGCGCTGGGCCTCCAGGCGGCACAGGCGGTTCTGATTGGTCACCCGCGTGGCCACGCCCAGCCCGCAGGTGGTGGAGCAGGAGCTCCAGGCGGTGCTCCATTCTGGACACTGGGTGACCACCGGTGGGGTAGCAAAGGGGCCGGAAAACTGGAGATCTGTGGGGGATACAGAAAGGGAGATTAGGGTTTGGCAAGCAAGTTAATTCCGCGCGTTAAATTGCTTAACTTCTCTGGACCCAGGTCATGAAACCCTGATCTGTGTCTTATGTGTGCATGTTATATGTGTGAGTGTGTGTGTGTGTGTGTGTGTGTGTATTTCTATTTGTTATTTCTATTTATTATTTAATATGTGTAGGCATGCATACACATGCACACACATAACGTAGATCACATTGACAGACTGTTTCTTTTTTATACTTAGCGCAGAGTGCATTTACATACTATGGTTAGATGCTGTCCAGTGGAGTATGTATGTCCCATAGCGAAGTCATAACAGATCTGAATTCTATCCCCGTATCAACCTCCTCATCTCTGACAAACTTGAGCCCATTGCTGCAGTCACGGTCCATCTTGTTGAGAGGTCTTCCTTTTTTTCGCTGTCAACTTTTCCAAGCATGATATTTATTTCCAAGGAATAGCCTCTCCTAGCAACAGGTGCAAAGTATGAGAGACGAAGCTTTGCTATTCTTGCCTCCAACGAGCACTCTGGTTGCACCTTTTCTAAGACACACCTATTCGTTCTTTTGACAAGTCTATGGGATAGTCCGTACTTTTCTCTAACACAATTCAAAGGCATTAATTATTTTTCCATCACCTTTAATCCATTGTCAGGCTCTCAGATGCAAAGCAAGTTGATTGAAAAGACCATGACCTTAATCAGGTGCACTTTAGTCTTCAAACTGATATCATTATTCTTCTGTATTTTGAAGAGATTTGATTTATTCATATTGAGAGCTTATGTTACGTTGCATCCCAAGCATAGTAACTACCACCGATGAGGTGTTATGTACTAGACTCTGTTCTTTCTGTTTTCTTGTATTAACACATCTTATCCTCATGACTCTGTGAGGGAGAGGCTCTTATTACTCCCATTTTACAGATGGAACACGTACAATGTAAGTCACTAGCCCAGAGTCACACAGGTAGTAAGTGGTGGAGTGAGGATTAGAACTCATGTAGAGTTCTTGCACTCATAACTCACATGCTTCAATATCTCCATGTGACACAGCCGTTTCTGTAATGAATCCTGTGCTGGTTGTTCTTTTAAACTTTTTTTTTAATGTCATTCATGTGATAAGAACAAAACAAAATATAGTGACATTAGAACAGAACCTGTAAAACTGAAGCGTTGACTTGAGGTAACTGTCTTGTCTCCATCCCACACCACCCCAAGGCAACCCCCTTGACTTCTCAGTTTTGTACTCTTCTTTTTTTTTTGAGAAAAAAAAAACCCTGTTTCTTTTTTTTTATTTTAATGAAAATTTACAGACTTTGGCTTTCCATTCATTCATTGTTGCACACTTTCCTCCCTGTCTACCCCTGCCCCCAGTTCGCTTTTCTCTTTGAAAAGTAAAATTTAAAAAAAAATATCATTGTTATGCAATCCCGCCCAGCCCTTCCCCCCGTCCACTCCACTATGCAGCTTTCATTCTGGACTCTTGTCATGCCAATAATACCTAATCATCTATTGCTCCTAAACAATTCTGTCCCTTACCTGTTTCAGTGCAGTACACATTATTTATCCCCTCTTAGTTTCCTCCCAAACCTTAGTTACACTTTACAACAGTGGCACTATACAGTATTTGTCCTTTTGTGACTGAGATATTTCACTCAGCATAATGTCCTCCAAGGTCACACATTTTGTATAATATTGCATGAGTTCCTTGTTTTTCAGTGCAGCGTAGTATTCCATTGTGTGAATATACCCCAGCTTCTCTATCCATTCGTTTGTTGATGGGCACTTGGGTTGTTTCCACCTCTTTGTTATTGTGAACAGAGCCTCAATAAACGTGACTGTGCATTTGTGCTCTTTTGAGAAATCCAAATAACAGTAACATCTATAAGTCTTAGTTTCTGTGGACTTCCTGTGGGACATGTAAGAACTTGGTTCACCTTTTGTCATACTTCCGTCCTTTTTAGGTTTTGTTTTTGATTGGGTACAATGGTGGCATAGTAGTTAGCACTCAGATGTCAACCAGGAGGCTGGAAGTTCAAATCCAGCCAGCAGGAGAAAGACCTTGTGATCTTCTCCTATAAATATTCTGGCCTAGAATTTAGGGGACTCTGAGTTTATGTTAATAGGGGGAGGATAGCACAGTAAGGGAGTGTGAGAGTGGTTGATGTGAGGTTACTGTCACTGAATTGCAGATCCCGTGCACCACGATGAAATTTGCCTGCTTCGAATGTAACGGTGAAGCATTATACGAGTCTGTGGTTCCCAAACCCCAGAGTGAATGTTCAAAGGCAGAGCAGCTTGCTGTAACATTTGTGGCAGGCTATAGAGTTGGAGTCTTCCGTGCCTTTGTTTCTCACCCTGCTGATGCTGTGGCATCTGTGTTGAATAAAGAGAAAGGGAGCAATGCTTTTCGGGTCTTCCAGACACTTGGATTCAAGTGCTTTGCGCCGTGACTGCACTACAGTGGGTCATCCATGACTCCACGAAGGTCTGCTTCAGACTCCCTGGGCCTCCCCCACCTGAGATGCCAGAGTCTCCGAAGAAGCAGCCTGGGTTAACTCAGGCGATAGATCAAAGCCAATAGGGACTGAATCGGATTGCTAATCATTGTTGAGGAACATCAAAGAACTTTTCTACATTTGACTGTATAGAAAATGGTCTCTTCCTGTTGAAATTACTACTCATACATATCCTTGCCTAAGGCATGAGTTTCACATTTACTTTTGAAATAATCCCAATAGTTAATTATAAAAAAAACCACACACACACAAACAAATCAGGGGAGCTCTGGTGGCCTAGTGGCAAGGAGCTGCAACTACAATCCCAGAGGCAAACGGTTCGAATCCACCAGATGTTCTGCCGGGGAAGGAGGGACAATCTCCTCCTGTACCAGTCAGATCTGATTTGACGGTACACGCACACAAAAAATAATAAAATTTTTAAAAAAAAATTTAAAACAAACAAACAACAACAACAACAAAATACCCCAGATTGCTGATTGGTGTATGCTTTGCTGTATGAAAAAAATAAAATTAAAGTTTTTAAAAAAGACAACCTGTGAGCCTGTCAGCAGTAGCATGCTGAGAAAGGTAGAGAGTCCGTGAAAGAGCGGAAGGCCCTCAGGTAGGTGCTTAACGGTGACTGCAGCAGTGAACTTGAGCGTGGCAGAGATCGTGAGGGTGTCAGAGGCTAGGCCAAGGCTCTGATCTGTTGTTCATAGGGTTCCTCTGAGTCACCGTCAGCACGAGGGCACCTGCCAGCAAGACCAGCAGCACGGCGCAGTTCAGCTCCGCCACCTAGAGTCGCTCTGAGTGGAATTGACTTGTCCACAACTAACAACAACAGCATGACTTAGAAGGACACACTCCTCCCTGCCTTCTTGTTCTGTCCCTTTTGAAGGGTCTACTTGGCAGCTGTCCACTCACCCCTCTTTCCTGAGTTCCCCCATCAGGACCCCACTACACAGCATCTCTTAGAAGACTTTTCCTTTATGTCTCCAGGTGTCCTGGCACCCCTCCTGACCTCACCCCTCTCAGCTCCCTGTTGTCTCCACTGTCCCACCCCAGGGCTGGGTCTGGCCAGCACTTACCTCGGGCACGATGGCTTTGGACCCCCAGGTCCTGGGTGCAGACCCACTCAGGACAGCACTTGCCGGGGACGTCCACCTTCCGGGGCTGGGGACAGTCCCAGCTGGGCAGCCGGATGTCCTCACTGCATGCAGGCACGCAGGCAAAGGCACCATCCATGCAGCGACAGTAAACCCGGCAGTGGGGCTGGAAGGTCTCCCCGTCCTGGTACTTGCGGCCATTTACCTCGCATCCCCCATCATCCTCTCCCACTGCAGGGGAGGAACGAGAACCCCATCAGTCACCTGGACCCTTCCCTGGGTGGGACTCGCTAAGGCCATGGAAGCTACATCCTGCCTGTGGTCTCCTGGCTCAGACCTAGTTGGGGCACACTGCCCTTCAGGTACCTTTGGGAGGGGCTCCAGTCCAGCGACATGCACCCTATCCCCACAGCTGGCCTGTCCCAGCCCTGGAGGAAGACTCATGATACACTACACCCGCCACAAGCTTTACAAGGAGTTGGTGAGCCTTGACTCCCCACTCTGCCCTTTATGATTTGTGCATCTTCTCCACGGGATCTCCCATTTCCTTGCCTCAATTTCCTCATCTGCAAAGTGGGGATATAATGGTATGGGAGCTCTGGTGACCTACTGGTAAGGACCTGCACTGCAACCCAAAGGTATGTGGTTTGAATCCAGCAGTTGTTCCACAGGAGAGAGAAAGACAGTCTCTACCTGTGCGATTTACAGCCTCTGAAAACCTGCTGGAGGGTCAGCTGTGAGTCAGTCTCCACCTCAAGGTGAACTAACAAGTTCAGAGTTGTAAAGTAATAGATGTAACGCACCCCCAAAAAAGCCCTTCAGTGGATACTAACTACTGTGTTGTTTCTCTGGTGCCTCAATGGTAAGTAAGTAACCCAGAGTTACATGGTTCAAATCCATGAAAGAAAGATGAGTAGTTCCTTCTGTGCAATTAACTGCCTCTGAAAACTTGCTGGAGGGTCAGCTGTGGGTTGGTCCCGACTCAGTGGCACACGCCAACAATTGTATAGAATTCTCCTTGGTGCATATTAGTCACAAATGCACAGAGATCTCCTGCAGCAAATTTTGGTCATCCATCTGGAGTGTTGGGGTCATCACTCTTTGGTCAGGGATCCCCTTGCTGGCTGTTTGTCTTTGAGTAAGTTACCTGGCCTCTCTGAGTCACCTGCAGTCGCGTGGTAATGGGTGAGGAGAGGGTAATGTGCTCGCACACAGTGTAGGCAGGTGCTCAGGACATACTTGTTGAATGAAGCCCTTGACATCTTCCACTGAAGAATTACCTAAGGGTGGCCTGTGTCCTAATGGCATCCCTGCCCTCACCCCTTTGGGACAGAGAGAAGCTCAGGACATACTTGTGAGTAAATGCCTGACCCGAGGCAGGGCAGAGGGCACGAGCTGAAATGGATCTCCTTCTGTATAACTCGAGAGACTCATTGTGAACCAGCTACTGTGCCACTGGGCAGGAGGCTGGACAGTCCTTGTCTCCGGGGACTCGCCAGCCAGATGTGAGGATAGAGCAAGGAGGGAACAATGACGGAGGGCTTCATGGAGACGCTGGTTTCATCTGTCGTCTTTAGATGCATTTCCATTAGCAATAAGCTGTGAGTTTATAAAACAGATCTTACCTTGTCTCACTGCTGCATACGCCCCATCAATCACTAAACAAGAATTCAGTATTGATAAATTTCTGTCTGTAAGTCTTTTTAACAGGTCTGGGTTGTAGATGGACTTGTTTTAGTGTCTCGGGCCTTTCTCTCTTTCCCATTGTTATTTTTATAAAAGAAATAAGCACGGAAAAGAAGTCATTTGCCCACAGGCAAATTACTATTAGTAGTAGTATTCTAGAAAGCTCTGGGGGCTTAGTGGTAAGGAGTTGCAATGCCAACCCCAAAGGACATGGTTTGAATATCAGCTGCTCTGCAGGAGAAAGACGGGTAGTCTCTTCCCGTGTAATTTACCACCTCTGAAAACACTCTGGAGGGTCAGCTATGAGTCCATTCTGACTTTATGGTACGTAACAACAACAACAAGTAGTATTCTAAAAGAATGTCCTTGTGTTTTTAAAAGCAGTGGTTCTCTTAGGATGACCTTGCCCTGTGAGACAGCTGGCACTGTCTGGAGGTGATTTGAGTTCTCACAGCCTGGAGGGCGGTGCTGGAGTCTAGTGGGTCGAGACCAGGCATTGCCTACACTGCACAGGAGCGCTTCCCCAACAGAGTGATCTGTCGCCTGCATCAGGGGACACCAAGGAAATGAAGGATGTAACTCGCTCAGGGTCACTGTTGACCATCAGATTCAGGACTCAGACTGTGGTCCCAGGGCTCCAGATCCAGGTGGAAGATGGGTTCGAATGTTGCCTTTAAAGCCTGCTTGACCAGGGCCCTAGGCTGTGTGGATTGAGTGTGATGGAAATGGAGCCTCAGTTTCCTTATCTATAAAGTGGGTCTAAAAGTACTTACCCCAGGGTTACTAGGAGGACTGGGCACTAAGCGTCTGGAACGTGCCCTCCCCTGAATGAGGGCTGCATGTCTATTTTCCCCAAAAGTGCCTGAGGCTCCTGAGAAGGAGATATGACCTCTAGTTGGAAGGTTCTGGAAAGGTTTCTCTGGGGAGGAGGTGCTGGAGCCTGGCTTTGGAAGCTGGCTGTGATTTGGACAAGTAGGAGCAGGGGGAGACTGGTTGGTTGGCATGGTCTCAGAAAGGCCGAGAAGAGGGGAGAAGTGTAGGGAGCAGTGGACCACCAGGCTTGGTCCACCAGGTGTGGACAGTATATGTGGAGTGAGGGGAGAAAAGGTGGGGAGAGGAGAATGCCCTTGGACTTGCCCACCCACACCCATCAGGCCCTCAAACCTGCTTACAGAGGCACACGGCCCCCTGGCTCGCAGGGCCCTCCCCGGGCTGGCACACCAGGCCCTGGCTGGGGTCACAGACGTGGAGGTGGTCGCAGGGCTCCCCCAGACGTCGTGCACAAACCCGGCAGCAGCCACAGCCATCCAGCACCAAGGGCACCCCCAGAGGGCATCGAGGAGGTGGCCAGGGGCAGGCACACGGTGCTGGGCATAGCTGAGCACACACCTGCAGAGATAGAGACCTCACTCAGCCACTGACTTTGAAGCCAAGCAGTGCGGCCCTCTCACAGACCACCTCTCTGCCAGGCCGGTCAATGAGGGGTCTGTGTGTTGACCCAGAGTCACGGAGACTTTGAGCCTCAGTTGTCCCATGGCCCTCTGCTGCATTGTGGCCATGAGCAAGGACATTAGATTAGAATCCCAGCCCTACATTTGCCCCTTTCTAGCTGTGTGACTTTGGACAAGTTCCTGTACCTCTCTGAGCCTCAGTTTCCTTGTCTGTAAAATGGGTCAATGAGAATATTTCACTCAGGATTATTTTAAGGAGAATAAGTCATGGTTCACGGTAACCTCTTACGTACCACATGGCATGTAACAAATGCTCAATTAATTTATCTCTGACAATATCGTGATTAGTGACAAGGTGTGGCTTTGTCCCTGCCGTCTAGGAGCCCGTGAAGGGCAGAAGGACAGGCTGGATTAAAGCCTCATAGTCCAGCATGTGGGTGGTGGCTATCTCGAGTGCTGAATGAATTAAATAATAATGTTTAATGCTTTTAATAGTTTTTATTTATTGTCATACATTAAAGGGAGCTCTGGTGACCTAGTGGTATGAGACTGCTGCAATCCCAGAGGCACATGGTTCTAATCCATGAGCTGCTCTGAGGAGAAGGTTGGGAATTTTCTCCCCTGTGATTAACTGCCTCTGAATACATTAAAACTCTACCTTTGGAGCAAGTGAGAATATGTTTCCTTAACTCTGGGTTGGGCATTCAACTTGGCCAGGAAGCCTGGTGAGATGCAGATCTCAAGGCCCACTCAGATGTACCATGTCTGGATTCCTAGAGGTTGATGCTTGTTTTTAACAATCATCAGAGAAGCTTTTTTTAATTTATTTTTATTTTTTGTGCATGTACCGTCAAATCAGATCTGACTGGTACAGGAGGAAATTATCCCTCCTTCTCTGGCAGAGCATCTGGTGGATTTGAACCGTGTGTACTTTTGGGATTGCAGTACGGCTTCTTGCCGCTAGGCTACCAGAGCTCTCCTAGAGAAGCTTTTGATACACAGAACTCCTCACTGATTCAGCCCACCCTGTGCTCTTGGGGAAACTGAGGCTCAGAGAAGGAAGGGTGTGGCCAGAAGATCCAGTATTTTGGCTGCAATCACAATTGCCTCTTCCCCATTCACTCAGGTCCTGGGGACAGACTTTTCCTGTGATGGAAACTGAACCTAGTGGCAGAGCCAGGGAATCAACCCAGTATCCTGACTGCACCCAGGGCAAAGAAACAGCTAAAACATGAGCCAGATGTCCTAGGCTGAGCCCCCCCCCCCAGCTTGGCAAACTGGAAGAGAAACGTGGACTCCTTCCTGTGTGTCTAGGTGAAGGTGGCAATCAAGAGTCTGTATAATTCAAGATGCTCCTAGTAGCCTCGTCTGTGGGGGAACAGACCTTTAGGATTCCCTGTGTGCCACAAATAGTTAAGTGCTTGGCTACTAACTGAAAGGTTGGCAGTTCAAATCCACCTATAGGTACCTTGGAAGAAAGGCCTGGTGACCTACCTCAAGAAATAATAGCCCTTAAAAGCCTATGGAGTTAGAGTGTTATGCAGAGTAGATCAGACAATCACAAAAGGGGGGGGGAATGTGTAGCTTCACTTAGATAAAAAGAAAAGGCAAAAGTAGAGAAGAGAAAGCTTACTAGTGGTTACAAGGGGTGTGTGAGAGGGGAAGAAGGAGTGATGGGGGAAAAGTGATGGAGAAATCACATTGATTAAGAGTATGGTTGCTCAGCTGATTATTGTAATTGCTGTCAGTAAATTGCTCACCTGCAAAAAGTTGAATTGGCAAAAGTTGTGTGGTATTTACAAAAAGACAAAGAGTGGAGGCTGAGACTGTGTAGGTGCACCCACCTCAAGGGATTTGGTTTCTTGGTTCGGGGGTCATGGTTTCATGGCACATCCCAGTTAAATGGTCTAAAAGCATGGTTAGTAGTTATATTCTATCTGCTAGTTAATTGTCTAGTGCCTGACGTCTTATAAGCTTGCAAGTGACCAACCAAGGCACAACAAATGTTCTCTGTTTGCCTGGAGCAACAGAAGAGAGTTACAAACGGAAGATGTGGACTATGTAGCTAATTGCCTTCGTGAACTGCCTCCTTTGTCATGAGACCAGAGCTGGACGGTGTCAGGATATCATAAAAGCATGTCAATAAAAAAAAAATTCCATAGAAGAATTCTGATCAAAAGGGGAGAGAGTGCAGAACAGAATTACACATGCTCTTAGAGATATCTTATCCTTTGAAACTATTGCCCTGAAATAATCTTTAACCCTTAAGCCAAAAGTATCCCCTGGAATCTTCTTAAAACTCAGTAACAGTTTGGCTTAACTAGTTGGGGGGAAAGTCTTGTCTTGAGTATTATAATCTTTTTAAAACCTGAGGTCAGTTGACTACAGAAATTAGATAGGAACCTTAAGGAACAATGAGATGATGTTCATGAAGGAAGAACAACTGAGAAAAGGAGAGTGAGAATGGCTGAAACGATGCAAGAAATATAACCAACCTGGAGGGGGGAATCGTACAGGGAGGGAGAAACACATTGGTCTCTCTTTTGCTATGCATATTCTCACTCCCGCCAACAAAATATGTGAATTTAGAGAGAAAAATCCTAGGGTGTGAAGCTCTACGCTGAAACATATGGAGGAACTGTGAATCTGAATATATTCTATGGCAACTGATTTCATTGCAGGGTGGCTTTCTTAAATCTTTAAATTGCTAGGATCCTTTGGGAACTGGAGGGTTCTATCTAGAGGAGGGAGATTTGCCGTCTACAAGGATGGAATTATTTACTTGATGTCTCCTTTGTGTCCCCTAAGCAGATAAGCGTGCCTTCGCCTCCCCTCTGTTGTTGTGTACCTCAGAGTCGGAATCGACCCTTAGCTGACCCTCTAGCAGATTTTCAAGGACAGTAAATTGTGCGGGACGAGATTGTCCATCCATCTCCCACGGAGCAGCTGGCTGATTTGAACTGTGTGCCTTTGAGATTTACAGCACAGTTTCTTACCACTAGGTCACTAAAGCTCCTCTCCTGTCCTGCAAACCTGTTTCCAGTGGCCTGCAGTGTCCACTCTGGCCACCAGGGGCCGCCATAAATGGCCAGGCCAGCTTCAGTGGACCGCAGAGAGGAAGGCGGTCACTGAGCTCTTCCCAAGACAGCAGGGAGTGATAGATGGGTGTGTCGGGGGCCCCTGTGTGGGAGGGAGTCCCCATTTATGGGGGTATTTTCTTTCAATGAGGGGATTGTGTGAAGCTTTTCTAAGGAAGATGGTCTCTCCTCGAAGTGTGGTCCATGGCTACTTCACCTGGAGGCTGTTTGAAACACAGCATCTCAGTTCCCACCTTCTGAATATGAATCTGCCTTTCACTAACCCTCAAGTGACTCTCACAGGAATTATTTGAGAAGCAACTTGCTAGAATTTGGATTTCTTTCCAGATCAGAGATTAAGCTCTCTTGTGGAAGTGCTCTGACCTGAACTACTTCTCCGGTCTCTCCCCACCTGCACACAGCAGGGCCAGGGATCAGGCCCTCTGTCTGCCTTGAATGTAGATCACCACATTGGGCTCCCTTTGCCCAGCAAGCTTGACAGGATCTGATCCTACAGGTCCTGACCTCCAGGAGAAGCTGTTGGTGATATCAGTGATGATAGCTCACCTCTCTCTCTCTGTGGTGAGTAAGCTATTACTTTAATTTGTTGTTTCTTAACCTTCCACGATCAGGCACTGTCGTTACCCCCATTTTAAAGATGGAGAAACTAAGGCTTAAAGCAGTGTAATCATAGCCTGTCAGAGGTAGAATTAGGATTGAAATCCAAGGTCATGTGAACCCAACACCCATGTTCTTAATTACTGCACCTATTCCTTGGAGAAGGACATGATGCTGGGAAGGGGGGGGGCAGTCAGCAAAGGAGAGGAAGACCCTCAACAGGTTGGATTGACATGGCGACTGCTGCAATGGGCACTTGTGTCTCAGGCAATGTGAGGATGGCACAGGATAGAACGGGGTGTAGATCTTTTGTTTATAGGGCCACTTTGAGTTGTACTTGACTTTGCACCTAACAACAACAACAACTTTGGGTCCTTGGGGGCTCTGACTCAGGCTTAGCTATGATTTCAGTGTATCCAGTTGTTCAAGAGGAATAATGACAAGTTACAGGGTGTTTCAGCTCAGCCAAGAAAAGACAAACCCTCTCCTGGCTTCCCTCTCCTCCACCAACCCCATCCCTCTGTTCAAGTTGTCTCATCAACACCAGGTTTCCCCAGAGCCTGGCTGTGGCCACCAGGCAATGAGGCTCTGTGGTTAGGGCACTGGACAAGGAATCTTCTGGCAAGAGTGGAGGGAGGGCATTGTTCTACCACTGACTTAGGGGGCTGAGGACACATCACTTAAATGCTGTGTAAGTGGGACAGAGACCCACCTGCCTTGGAGTGACAGCAGCAATCCTCAGCCAGCACCACATGGCTCTGATTTCTGGCTCTCTGCTCCTGATCTCTATAGACTGGAGCCCAGGAGCCCACAGCCTGGAGCCCAGGAGCCTACAGCCTGCCTGGAAGGGGCTGACTTTCCTCCCTGGGCATTATTAGCTCTCTGAGTCCCCAGTTTTTCCCCAGATTGGGGAAGGAAGGAGGCAGTGAACAGTGAGTTGAGAACAGCTTCCTTTGAAGCTTTCATTTAATTCCAGACCCCTTCTCCCTTCTAGAACCCAAAGTCAAGGTTGTCCAGCCTCACATCATGGCTTGCCTGTCCCAGTTGGGAGGACAGTTGGCAAGATTGATGCCAGTGGGGTTCTCAGTCTCTCCTCAGCCCCCTAATTGGGACCTGGGGGAGAGAGACCGCGCCTCCTGCTCCTCAGAAGAGTGTGGTCATGGCTTTCAGTGAGGTCCAGGCCCATGGTGCTGGTCTTTCCTGAGGGGACAGCAGGGCTTGGCAGCTGTGGCCTTAGTCTATACTGGAGGTCGGGAGAGGCACAGATTCAGGCCCCCTCAATATACCTTGGCCCATCCCATCCTCATCATGCTTTATTGCTCTGACATTTCCTGGCTGTGTGACTTTGGACAAGTTACTTATCCTCTCTGAGCCTTCTGTGCCTGGAAATTAAAGACCACAATTTCTCACAGGTTTGTTGCACGTATTAGACAAAGAGGATACTCCACAGCCCTTTGGTGAGTGTCCCGTGCAGCTCCCTTGAGGTGTCTCCTTGCTCCCCTACCCCCAGCCAGGCCAGCCAGTCACCACCTGAGCATTTCCAGCAGATTTGTCCTTACAGGATGACCTTTCTCATCAGTTCATTTGAATTCTGCCTTCGCTGGACAAAGCCTGACCCCCTGAGACTTGTCTCAGTTTCCCTACTGATAATGATGTCTATGATCTCCTTAAACTGCTTTGCAGAGGGGCTGTGGGGACTGGTGACAACCATGAAGTCCTCCCCTGAGCGTTTGCTACACTCCAGGCCCTGTGCTGAGCACCTCAGATGCATTGTCAGGAGTGAGCTCTCAGAGACCTAGTCATTGCTGTACCCACTCCACGGAGGAGGAGACTGAGGGTCAGAGAGGAGACAAGACTTGCCTGAGGTCACACAGCACAGCTGTCCAGAGCAGGAAGGGAAGTCAGGCTTGGGTGCTGGGTGCTGCCAGGGCCTCATTAGCTGTCACTTCACAGCCTCCTGGCCCCCTCCCACCACATCATAGAAGCCAGTGGTGCATTCTGGGGCCTGGGGCCCCCCCTTACCTTTGAGAGGAGGCAGAGAAGGGAGAAGGTGAGGAGCTTGGTCTGGGCTGTGCCTCTCATGTCACTGTGTCCCCCGCAGAGCCAGCTTGGAGCCTGGGAGGCAGGACCCAGCAGTCTTTATGTCCCGGCAGCTGTGAGGTCACCCCAGGCAAGCACTCTCACACGCACTCAAGTACCCACACACTCGCACACACACACTCTGGCCTTTTCATTCCTTCCTCCTCTCCCCAGTCTTCATGTTCCTCTGATGAGTCGTTTACCTAAAGGTGGTACAGTGGAGGCCACCAAAGGGTGGCTGCCAGTGTGTGTGTGTGTGTG